TAACCAGGAAACAAGTACAATGGTACCCCAAGTTTCATACAGCTCCCAACTTGAACAATTATGTAAGTGTATTATTGTAAGTGCTTTTGTAAGTGCATTTTTGGGGGTCTGAAATGGACTAATCTAATTTACATTATTCCTTATGGGAATAAATTCGTTCGGTAACGGCACTCAAACAGCCTTCTGGAACAAATTATGGCTGAAACTCAGGGTACCACTGTATAAAATTTATATAAATACTTCCCAAATTGAAAAACAAATCAACCAGGCTGTGATGGATATGTGGGGCTGCAGGCCACCAATAGCAATAGCCTGGTTGACAAGGCAAGCACCAGACAAGCCTGGCCCATTGCTGGGCTCTGGGAGTAAAAAAAGCCCTTGGAACTCAAGGTATTTAAAACTCCAGCTTAAATTACTGCACTGAAATTCAAGCCATTTATTTTTTTCTTTCAGTTCCTCCTAAAAACTGATTTGTGATGCTTATATATAATGTTGTAGGACAAATGCATGGATTACACGTTCTTAGAGCGCTCTGAAAACGATGAAGAATAAAAAAAATTAAAAGATCACTTCAGTTACATCTAATACTAAATATTACCCAAGGAGATGAATCAAACTATCTCAGTAATTACCTAAGTGCTGCAATGGCTGAGCTCCAGCTCTTGGATGCATCTTAAATGTCTACAAGATGTGAAATACCATTGCTATTATATTTACATTTGAACCCTCTGTATGATGTCAGTTTCTAATGTGTTGAAGGTCAGCTCACTTAGCTTCTTCACTACCCATACAATGAGTTCCTACTTCCTAACACTTAAAAGCCTCTGTTCAGTATTAACCCTTTGGGGGTCGACAGGTCCTCTCAGAGACTTGTTCTCAGGGTCGGCCAAACTTCAAAAAAAAAAAAAAAAAAAAAAAAATTCTTATGAAAAGATAGAGAATCTTTTCCCGATCATAATGACACCAAAAGAATGAAATTTGATGGAAAACTTACGGAATTATGCTCTCGCGAAGTTAGCGTCTCAACGATGTTTACGCATCGGTGATTTTGCCCACTTTGCCCTATTTTCGGCCAATTCCAGTGTACTAGTCGACAAAAATCGTAACTATTTCACTAAAACACCATTTTTTTCTATCGAATGAGTAAAAGAAACCACCCATTTACCGATTTCAACTATCCAATAAAGTGGTCAGAATTTAGCAATTTTGCCAATTTCACACAAATTTCAAAAGATGCCAATTTCCGAATAGGGTCCAGAATAAACAAGAAAGACATTCCTGGCACTAAAATAACAAGTTCTCTGTTCGTTAGTCACATCCCCAGGCCCCTCTTATATTTCTTTGGCTTTCCATTTTGAATTTTTATTCTTACAAAAAAAAAAATAAGATTTACTGTTATGCAGACTACTGCATTAGTGTGGAAATGGTATAAATAATATCAGCGCACTTGTGAAAGAATATTAGACTCGCCAGTTGATGTGTATTGGATGCTTGGCATGATTTGTTTACTTTCGAACTTTGGTAAAAATCGAACATTTCTGCTACTTTGAGCTCAATTTCAAGGTACTTTTCATTGTAAAACCAGTCAAAATCATCTCAATTTCTGTAACATGTCTTCCATTCTATAAAATGAGACCAAGAAAACTAGAATACAACCATAAATACCATACAAAAATACAGTGCAAAGTCGCTGTTTTAATCCAAAAACACGGTCAAGGTTTTTTTTTTCTCATTACGCACTGTGTGCTGCAGGATTTTTTTTATACTGTGCACACTGACCACATAGACCCATTCTTACATATGTAGGCCTACCAGCTTTCTCTCACTAGATTTGAGGGCGCTAGAATTTAGGCGTACTAGTACGTCAAAAACCCTGGGTCGTAAGACGTACTAGTATGTCCGTAACCCCCAAAAGGTTAAGTATCTATTGAAATTCCTTGCTCAGGATCCTTTCTCAGTAAAATTTGTCCACGTCAACTTTACACATTCCTGTTCGGAGTGTTGTAATTACATCACTTCTAGTTTTTGGTACCTCCAGGAACGAGAAAGCCTAACGAAATTTCACATTGTAACTTTACCCTCTTAAGTGCTGCTACTAGTGAGTGATGATGCAAGTGTTTCTTCTTTTTTGGGGTCACCCTGCCTCAGTAGGAAACAGCCATGGGTTAAAAAAAAAAAAAAAAAAAAAATAATTGTACTCAAGCTGCATACTGAAGGATTTGTTACACACACTTGCCTTTAAGTGGTTGCAAGGGTTGAGTCTTAGTTCCTGGCCCCACTTCTCAACATGCTGCTTGTCAGATTTACTTCCACCAAGCCTCCTGGGCCCTATCGTACCTGCTTTTAATACTACATATGGAGCCTACTTCCTCCACTTCTCAACAGAAGTCACTCCACTTCCTAACCACCCACTGATTAAAGAAATGCTCTCAAACATCTCTGTGGCTCATCTTTACTCTCAACTCCCAGCTGTGCTCCCTCAAGTACCTATTTCCCGCTCTCAAACAGTCCTAATCTATTCATACTCATGAATATTTTGTGCCTTGTCTCCATGGCTCTTCTGTCCTCCAATGTCTGATTCAATCCATTAGCCTCTCCTAGTAACTCTCATGCTGTAGCTCTGCGACTGGTCTCTGCATACCCGTGCATCTTCTCCTTCTCCAGCTTCTTAACATGATTTTTCAGGAGTGAATTTCATGCTGGTACTGCCTACTCAAAGATGGCCTTGACATACCTTATACGAAGGCTACACTAAGATTTGCCAAACAAGCACTTTACCAACCTTGTATGTGCTGCTGCTATTTTGTTTACATACATTTTGAGGAATAGGTATAATGTAATGCTTGATACTAAATTCTTGTCATAATTTATGATGGATGACATGATAGTGTAGCACACAATAAACAGACTGTGGGTAATTCCTCTTGGCATATATTTGTTCCATTTTAAATACTAACAGAAATGGTCTATTCGAAAGATTTTTAGAGGTCTAGAAATAACTGAAATCAGCAAGGAAGAAAAACTTCAAACTATAAAAAAGTGGTATTCATCATCTGTGATAGCTCAAAACAATTCTATTTTAACACTTTCGGGGTTTTTGACGTACTAGTACAGCTTATGCACCAGGGTTATTGACGTACTAGTACGCCTAAATTCTAGTGCCTTCAAATCTAGTGAGAGAAAGCTGGTAGGCCTACATATGAAAGAATGGGTCTATGTGGTCAGTGTCCACAGTATATAAAAAAAATCCTGCAGCACACAGTGCGTAATGAGAAAAAAAAACTTTGACCGTATTTTTGGATTAAAACAGCAACTTTGCACTGTATTTTCGTATGGTATTTATGGTTGTATTCTAGTTTTCCTGGCCTCATTTTATAGAATGGAAGACATATTACAGAAATTGAGATTTTGACTGGTTTCACAATGAAAATTACCTTGAAATCGAGCTCAAAGTAGCAGAAATGTTTGATTTTTACCAAAGTTCAAAAGTAAACAAATCATGCCAAGCGTCCAATACACATCAACTGGCGAGTCTAATATTCTTTCACAAGTGCGCTGATATTATTTATACCATTTGTACAATAATGCAGTAGTCTGCATAACAGTAAATCTTCTATTTTTTTAAGAATAAAAATTCAAAGTGGAAAGCAAAAGAAATATAAGAGGGGCCTGGGGACGTGACTAACGAACAAAGAACTTGTTATTTTAGTGCCAGGAATGTCTTTCTTGTTTATTCTGGACCCTGTTTGGAAACTGGCATCTTCTGAAATTTGTGTGAAATTTCTAATCACTTTATCGGATAGTTGAAATTGGTAAATGGGTGGTTTCTTGTACTCATTCCATAGAAAAAAAAGGAGTTCTAGCGAAATAAATATGATTTTTGTCGACTAGTACACAGGAATTGGCCAAAAATAGGGCTCAAAGTGGGCGGTCTCGCTGATGTTTACGTATCAGCGAGACAGTTAACTTCACGAGAGCATAATTCCATAAGTTTTCCATCATATTTCATACTTTTGGTGTCATTATGATCGGGAAAAGATTCTCTATCATTTCATAAGAAAAATTATTTTTTTTTTTTTTTTTTTTAAATTTTCAAACCTGAGAACAAGTTTAGGAGATGGCCTCTTGACCCTGAAAGGGTTAAAGGTTAAATTATTTTGCCATGTTGTACGATATTTACCCATCATATGCTCCAGATACTATCCTCTTGTTGTCAAATCTAATGCAGCGAACTAATTCTTCATGCCCCTCAAGTATCCGCAGACATGCTCCACATTCTATGTCCCATAACCTGCAAGGAAATTATCAGCAACAAATATCTCAATTAAAATATCTAAATGGAGTACAACAAGTGAATATACATGAGGTGAGGTATGGGATAAATGAAAGATGCAAGGAGAAATCTGTGGAAGGCATGGAAGAATAAGAAAGAAAAAGGTAGGGTATCAGACTGAGTGAAGAAGAGTAGTGTAAGGGATCTGACAAGCTGTTGGAGTATGAACAAGACAACACCTATGACAGGACCCAAGTGAAATCATGTAGTAAGATTAAGTTTTCAAGATTAGGAGGTACAGTGTCTGCACTCTTGAAAGTGCTGCGGGGAATGCTAGTTTGGTAGGTCAACACTGGATGCCGATGTATATGCCCTTTTGGAAAGCCAGCTGCAGAGTCATTGAGAAAGCATGTTCTTCAGACTGCCCTGCTTCAGTAGAAAACTGCTTTACAAAAAATTGCCTACTGATGGTGTAATTTCATAAACATGAATCAGAACTTATTAAAATTATAATAAACTAAAAAGTTTGGATTATTATTTAGAAAAGTTTTTTTATCTCGATGTTGTTGACAAAGTCAAAGTAATTTTTAAACTGGGCTGGAGTTTCACGACTCACGTGCCATGGGTTCTAACCCCACTTGTACCGTGATTTGTGATGGTCAAATGTGTGGTAATATGAACTTTATCTTACTTTTCTATACTCTTAACATCTAAGTTAATAGATTCTTCCACATTACAACACTGACATATTTCGTCATTAGGTGCACAAGCAAGACAAATTCATTAGAACATGTTTCACCTGAAAAAAAAAAAAGTTTGCAAGAGTGATGGATAAATATAAAAACTGTTGTCAAGATGTCTATAATCAAATCCCATCTAAATATTCATTAATGCAAAATTGCTTAGTAAATATGGATACTACATAAAGAAATCATTTTGCAGATAAAACATCTGTGCCTCACCTATCAACCTCTAGTAGTGATTTTGAAAACTAGTTAATAATTTAAACTGCTGTATCACCATCAACAACTGAGCTCTGTTCACTGATTATTTGCCTAACAAATAAATATTATCTATTTATCCTTTCTTCAATATTTGTAATGAACACTGTAGAGAAGTTAAATTTAAATTTGTGTGAACTGCCAAAGCTTCCTTTTAGCCAACCTTCCAAACACATTACCATGAAAAGACACTTACCTTATAGTATTATCTGAAGAACCACTGACAACTAGTCTGTCCCGATACTGAAGGCATGCAATGCCCCTTTTATGTCCATTTAGTGTCCGAACAAACTCACACGTTCCTGTGCTCCATACCTGTATAATGCAATGATGAACACTCACTGACTAGGCAGTCAACAGAAAAGTCCTGCAACAGGCCAGGCTACGAAAGTAGAAATCTCAAAATTGAAAACCAGGTATGACAATGGTTGCAGGCCCTATATAAGGGATCAAAAGAAGGCATGAAAACACCATTTCACATCAAATGAAAGTTAAGAGGCAGGACCAAGAGACAAAACTCAGGCCCCATAAATTCAAACAGGCAATTGCATATAGAAATGTACTGAAGAATGCAGTTATGATCATTTGCAAAACTGTGCAACATTTTAACAAACATGGCAATGGCATAAAATATCCAAATATTCACAGACTCACAATATAAAATATAACTGCAGGAACAGGTTATTCCATGTTAAAGTTTTTATGATAACTCCTTACAAAAAATATTAAACATATTCAAGTTCCAAAATAAATAAATAAAACTCATTGATTATTTACATTAACAAATAGAAAACTGCCATATTAAGAGTAATTTACTATACATGATCCTAAATTTTGCAAAGGTTCTAATATATATTAAATAAATAAAAATTGAGAATCACATACCTTTATTGTTCTGTCACCAGATGCACTAACTATGTACTTCTCGTCAAAATCAACAACATTTACAGCTGCTCGGTGACCCACTAGCACACGTCTCAGATTAATTTCAGTTGGAGACACCATATCCCAAACAGCAATAGATCTATCCTGTGAATACAAATTTCAAAATTCATCCATGATACAAAATGTATCCAAGAATTTAAAAAAAGAATGTGAACTACAAAGAAAGACTGAAGACAATGAAAACGTCCTTGCCAATACAGTGAAAGAAAAAAGGGATATAACAGCAACCTATTATGGGAATAGAATAGTCACAAAAATGCAGATAGACCTTTTCTTGAAACATGAGGAAGTAAAAATCCTTGAATTAATAATGTCAAATGACCTACATCTCCATGGGGAAGTGGAACAAAATTCTTCCTCCATAAACATGCACGTCGTAAGAGGTTACTAAAATGCCAGGAGCAAGGGGCGAGTAACCCCTTCTCATGTATACATTACTAAGGTTAATAAGAGAAATGTTTGTTTTTCTTTTTGGGTCACCCTGCCTTGGTGGGATACAGCTGGTTTGTTGAAAGAAAATGATGATCTACAATTTAGAAAACACAATAAAAGGGTGTATAAACTTGGGGTGAAAGATAGGAGGAGGCAGAGGAGTCTCAGGATTGGTTGAAGGAAGAGGGGTAAAAAATAAGAGGCTTTGAGTTTTAGGGGCTGTGTAAGTGTCCTGGACAGGAGTGAACACAGACAAATGGATTTTAATGGATATATTGTTGGAGTGTTAGCAAGGTAACTTATGAAGGGATTCAGGAAAAACCAGTTAGTTTGACTTGACTACTGGAGGTGGGAAAGCCAGTGCCTTTACTCTAAATGGATGGGAATGTTGCAGCTGGAGGGCAATCTGACTTATGTCATCATCCATCTGGAAAGACATTAATTGAAACAACGATGTCAAATGCATTTTTCTTCTTTGGATAACCCTACCTAGGGGAAAGAAGGCAGCAGTTCAAAAAATAAATAAATTAACTCAATGGCCACCTCTTGCCAAGGAAACATGACCCGAAGAAAAACACATTCAACAACATTCACTCAATAAGTTGTACATGAACGGTATACAATACCGACAAGTTGAAAATTTTTTCAACTTGTCGGTATTGTATACTGTTCATGTACAACTTGTCAGACACTGCAACATCATGGAATCTTGGTTTAGAGGACATCCACATTACCTCTTCACAGCTGCTACAATTACTTCAACTACTACTACTGCGACGATTACTACTACTGTACTACTATCACCACTAACCCGTGCCTCGGGTGTGACCTGCTCCCACTGGGGATTCCCGCCCAACAGTGACTATGCCCTCCATCTTCCGCCAGTATAAAAGCAGCAGCCTTCTTGCCTGTGGTCCAGAATATTCACGACCATGGTGCTCCTAACACCACCTTCAAGGCTGAGGGACTGATTACCACATCTTTTGTATATAGTCCTACTGTCTTCTAATCATATCTAGAATTTGTATTGATTAAACAACTGGTTGGCAAAACATTTACAATAAAGATACCCAGATGCTGAACATGTGTCTAAATTTTTCATTCACTCAATAGCCATCTTTCCAGAAGTATGCCAACACAATCTTGGATTAACTCTGACTGCAATATTCCCACCCCTTCTTCACAGTGTAGGTACTGCCCTTCCTCCAGGACTCAAGCCAGGGTAACTGGTTTTCCTGAATCCCTACATTAATTATTAATAAATTCACATAAAGTGCTAAAAGTGCTAAAGGGCAAAAAGGTTCTAGCTCTTGAGCCCTTCACAAGTAACAAGGCACCAAGAAGGCAGTTCTTTTAATAAACATATAACACACCTTCGAACACGTAACCATCATTCCATTGTTGAAGCGTAGGTGAAGAACAGCCTCACAGTGGTGGATAAGCGTATTGGTCATATCTCCAGTGTTAACATCCCAAACCCTAACTGTGGAATCTGAAGACCCACTGATAATTACACGCTCATCATACTGCAAACATAAAACAGACCCTGTGTGCCCCGTCAACACCTGAAACAAAAACGGGCATGGGTTATTATGGCTGGGTGAAAGTGGAGTCCAATGTGCACTACTGACAAATCCAGCAGTGGCAGACACAATAACCCAAGATACCCAATTAAGAAGATGGAGCAAATATGAATAGGTTTCTAAATAATAAACAAGACTGATATCACAACCCAAAAAAAATTTATACAAGTGATCAATAGAAGTCTCACATTAATGAAAGGATGGCGTACGTGTATAAATACTAGCAAACAACTTAAAAATATCTCTGCACTGTGCTAAGTAACATACAGAGTCATCCCTACAAATTAGAAGGGGGTTAATTCCTAGAATTACTACAAAATCAAAAGCAGTGATTACAAAATTAAGTCTGTATAACAAATTTTGCTTCAGATTTAGGTTCTTTTTGTATTTCACTGACCATCTGTGTAATATACATGTATTTATAAGTCTTATCTGTTTAACAGTGATATTCATAAGAAATACTGACTGGATTATTACTATAATCAAGAGGAAGCACTAAATCCATTGGTGGTCATACAGTGCCTGAAGAAAGGGAGTCAATTAGGTTCAACCAAGAGGAGGGTAGCTTCAATTCCTTGGATAAAAAGCCCTTCACCTTGAGTTTTGACTATGGGGAAAGCCATCAAACTATATAAACTGCTGGATAGCTGACTATTAGCTGCTTGCCCTTCAGCAAAAATGCTTTATAACCAAAATCCAAAAATACGGAAGCTTACGAATTTATACACACAACTGCCCATTCATTTTTTTGCTGCTGACAAAGACCCAAAGCATTATCCTATATCCTTCACTTGAGAATGTCACACTGACAAAACATCTCTAGTGTAAAAATAGGCTCAAAACTTTTAACCTACAATAATCATGTGACTGTTTATAATTAGTTACAAAAAATAATTTTAAAAACCTTATGAGCAGTCATGAGTTTTAAGTTTAGTTGCACAAGCATCAAAGCATTAAGAACTACTGTATACTAAATTATAGAGTTTAAGGCACTAACCTGCTTTTGGCTTAGCCCAACAGCCATTTCCCACCAAGAAGAGACATTCACCTCCACTCACTCCAGCTGCCTTTCCAGAAGGGCATGGATGCTGTAGTCCAATGATGAACTACCAAGCTATAACATTCCCACTTCACTTCCAAGAATTTCAGACACTACTTCTGTCCATTCCTACTTCTAAAACTCAAGTCATGTTGGTTAGTTTCCTTGAGCTTGTCAAACCCCAGCAACCACACTCCTACACTGACTCCGGTCTGACATGATTACATACGCATGTTGAATGCATAAGGCCCAACTCTCAATACAGTACCTGTAATATATTTCTTCACTCTTCTACAGATATCCTCCATTCCCAAATATGTACACAATCTCAGCCTATTTTTCTTTCATTTTCACAAGCCCAAAGCATCTCAAGCCTTCTTCCACTCTTCAAATTATACTTTCAAATCACCAAATGGCCTTTGTCTTTATTTCCATGTAATATCATACCACACCATTTTAAAACAAGACTCCTCACTGCCACTAATTTCCTTCCTCTTACATAATTTAATTATGGGAAAGCACTAAAAATTATACAAACTTCCACTCATTTTTACCTTAAGTCTCTTGATAGCTTCTATTTTGTAACAGAACTATCATCCCATTGATCAAGGATGTCTGAGACTAGGACTCAGAGTTAACGATCCTCAGAACCAATGAGATATAAATACCTGGAATCAAGAGTCTTCCACCAGAATTAAGACACTTCCCATGAAGGGTAACAGAACTTTATATCACCTGACCATTAACTCTTTGCGTGCTGAAATAACACCAATCTTCAACGTGTATAATACTCTTACACTAAACAGTAGGGCCCCAACTTGCCATAACAATGCATTTCTAAAAATTCTGTTGCTCAGATGTTTAGAACAAGAAACTTGTTTTTCCACAGACACCAATGCTAAAATCAGAGATGGGTTCATAATCCATTGTATTCCACATCTTATGTCAGACATTTTTTAATCAAATAAAAAAATTAAATACTGACAAGACAGGAAGCAAAAGGGCTGCCCAGCTCTCTATCAATATCTTTCTCCCTCTCCCTGTCCTTCTCTTCCTCTCATTTTATCTGACAAATCACACTTTTAAGCTTTCCACTCTTTCACCGTTATGGGGAGGGTATCAACTGCCCTGGAATATACGGGAAGCTAGTGGCAAGGGATGTTGTAGGCCAGACTGCAGTTCAGGGATGATGTACTGGATAATGCAGCAATTATTAATTCTACAGTTCTTGACCAAAAGCTACCAAATATGAGCCCTCTACACATGCAAAAATAATGATATTTAAAATGAATGAATTTCATGGAAAAATAACAGAAAATACTTCAAATTCAGCTCTTAAAATCTATTAATTCTACAGTTCTTGACCAATAGCTACCAAATAAGTCCTCTACTCTGGCATGAAAATGATGAATGCATTCTGTAGAAAACAGAAAAAATTAATATAACAAAATCAGTTATTAAAATTGTAACTGTTAATTCTACAGTTCTTGATCAATCTCAAATATGACACCTCCACATGCAAAAAATTGACAAAATAATAATGCATTTGGTAGTAAAATAACTGAGAAAAAATGAACTACTTTTAACAATTTGTTTGATTGTTTAAAATGCTAGTATCTGCAAATCAGTATTTGCAAGAAATTAAGTTCATTTAAGATGCAAATCATTGTAAGTCATGTTACACTAGTATTTTTGGGTAGCCCTCCAATATTCACCAAAACAAAGACATTTTCAAGACAGTGATTGAATGAATGACAGTGAAAGCTTTTCTTCTTTTTTCAGGTCACCCTACCTTGGTGGGAGACTGCTAATGTGCTAAAAAAAAAAAATAACTTTAATAACTAAAATTAAAAATTCTCAAATCAAAGTTGAGGAACAAACATCCCCATTTTCAAAAGTTATTGTTTCCTCTGAGTTTTTTTCACTACTGAAGAGGAAGGGAAGGGGAGGGGGATGCAGGGGAAGCTGAATTCAGATACTTACTGTATGCGTTAGTAGAAATATCGACAATATGTTAGGTATAAAGACACACAGTGCAACTAATGTGACATTTTATTGTAGCACTTGTGTTCTTTTTACCTAACGTATTTACTGGCTGAATTTGCCAGGGATGGAAAAACTATCGCATTTTGTTCCTACCACTAGCGTATTTCCTTCTTTAGGCAATAATGCCACTGCCATACATTTGTTTATTTCTGTTTTATGTTTGTGGTAATGCAAATACAGTGGTACCCAGAGTTTCAGCCACCTCCCAACTCGAACAATTATATAAGTGTATCACTGCAAGTTCTTTTGTAAATGTATTTTTGGGGGTCTGAAGCGGACTAATCTAATTTACATTATTCCTTATGGGAACAAATTCATTCAGTAACGGCACTCGAATAGCCTTCTGGAATGAATTATGGCCGAAACTCGGGGTACCACTGTAACAGCACATTTTTTTCTGGATGCTGCTTTTTTTTTTTTGTGATTAGAAAAAAGGATCCCTGTGACATGCTGTTGTTCAAATTTTTCAATCCCTGTTACATCACATTGACTTTCATCAGACTCGTTGCTGCTTGATGCTGATAGCAAATTAGTTGCATTCCGACATCTTGACCTAGTGAATTCTCTGCTGACTTCTTTTCAGGCCATTCTCAACATGGTCACCATTTGTTTTACATTACTCACCCACTGCACTTACACTGAAATTATACTCGTATCAGGGATATAGAAATGTGCCGAGAATCTTGTTGGAGTTAGTGGTGTAACTTTCAAACCTAGTTAATGTTGATACTTTAAGAACTGAGTGTGTGCTACCCAAGCCAGAAATTCCTGGATCACACTAAGCTTTGTTGATGAAATATTTCAAACATTGCACTTAAAGCATTATTTTCAAGACCAGACAATTTCTATCACTAAGACATTGTGGTTCTGTGAAATATTTTCACAAGGTAACTTGGGAAAAAGATTCCGCATATTTGTATCAAATGACGGAAGATATGTATTATCTAAGCAATACATTGCAATGACTTTTACAAATGTAATCTAACATTAAGAAAGTGCTGTGTCAGTAAGAAGATATATACAGCCTCTCCTCACTTAGCAACGTACTCATTTACCGATTGCTCAGACTTACAACCAGCTCTCCAACCAGTATGCAAACCTAAGTAATGTATATTAGAGCTGATTTCCTCTATTCTGTTTATTACAGTATGCAGTACACTACAAACATTTAAAAATTTACTAGAAATGTTATAAATGGTGCAAAGGTGACATTAAACAAATATCTAGAGATGGAAGACACAAACCCACTACAAGTGTAGTATGCTCCTCGCTTAATGGCCAATTCGCTTACCGACCTACTCTTAGGAACAGAACCCTTGGCTATACTGAATAACCTTGTGTTTTGGCTGTTCATTTTGCTCTTGAAGAGCCCCTAGTTTACTGCAGGCAAGAGGAGAATAACTGAAGTAGCTCACTATCTGCCTACAGTTAGCAATGATTTTTTGTTACTCTCTACTCCAAAACAATCACGGATAACCAGCTGATGTGTATGTAGAAAGCATGACAATCTGTTGTATCCTGTCCACTCAATTCATCTGACAACATTGGCACATTACCCCATGCTATAGCACTAATTTTGAAAGCTGCCACACTGAATTCATGCACTGCTTCTTGAATAATTTCAGTGATGTGTGCTGCAGAGAGATCCAGGAAATAGCATCACTCTCAGGAAAAGGTTTCTTAGTCTTTGTTGAGATAATGCCCAGTTAAACTTATAAAGACAGCACAATGACAGTCATGTGAAAATGGCTACTGTGTTTGTGTGAGTGTGAATGTCAGTAACCCTCACATCCGAGGCAGTATTAATTTAACCATTGTTAAGCACATGTATAATACAGTATTAATATGCAAAAAGTACTGGCTGGTATCAGCAGTACTTTCACCAATACCATGGAAATACCCGACACCCACTGATATTGATATTTTGACACAACCCTACCTGCCAAAGCCATAAAATGGCATGGTAGATCAACCAGGCTGTGATGGATATGTGGGGCTGTGGGCCACCAACAGCAAGAGCCTGGTTGATCAGGCAAGCACCAGACAATAAACTCTCGAAACTTATCAAAGGTACCTTCCAAATATTAATTTATCATAAAAAATTAAGTGGTACAAACAATGCAAAAGTAAAAATTACACTTCTGAAAACCCTGTAAACAAATGAACTAATAAGGGTGAGCTAATCAGCAAATTAAAAAAAGGCAATAGTGTGTCTCAACATGTGTTGTCTGCAGGTCTCACAAAACAGCTGCATCTTCCTCTTTTCCCACTTCAATAAAAAGTGATAAAACAGTAGACTATTCAAATGTAAAAAAGTTTACTTCTACGGACATGAGAAAAGGGAGAAGGTAAGGAGCAAGATGAAAGAAAAGGGAGAGATATTATGTGAGAATGAGAAAACCAAATGTCAGAGTGAAAGCTTGACACACAAACCTGTGACTGGTTTCGAGGGGTTTTCTAACCTCGCAGCCCAGCCTGAGGCCAGACTTCCTTGTTGACTGCCTGCTCAAACAGGCTACTGCTGCTAGTGGCCCACAGTCATATAAAGCCATCACACCCTGGCTGATACAGCACTTTCAATAGGTAATGGTAGAGAAAGAAAATGAGAACATGGCTACAGGGTAGTACATGGGAAGGCAGAAGACTTAGTAATCCACACTGAGGCTATCTGCTGAGGGATAAAAAACAAAAATACTGTATTTGAAAAACATGGATGGATGTTTGATTAGAAAGTTTGTCAGATACAGAGAGTCCTAGTGATATCATAGACACCTTTTCCAAAAGATATTTCATGATATCTTGAAAGAGGAAATATCTTGAAAAATCTTCATTTAATTATGTGGAGAAAATTTCAAGTTGTTTAACTATTTCCAAATACAATTAAATCAAATGTACCAAAAATACCTTGAACAGTGATCTAAATATGGTACTGCACTTACATCAATAAACAAGCAAAAGAGGTGAGTAATGAAAAGTTTCTCAAATAACTACACATACCTATTTTCAAATTTAAGCCAAATGAAGAGAAATAGGTGCTCTGAGCCTTGAAAGAGATTAATAAATATACATTTAGCATCTACTTATCTTCTGTGAATGAAAGTGACATCTCATAATGCTGAACTGACTCAGAACTACACAAGAGAACATAATTAAAATTTATCAGTGTCACAAACATCACCAGAAATATGCCCAAGGTTCCCCAATGAAGCAAAGTTAAAAATTACTTCAAACTGCTAGGCTGCTTTAAATTATATACATTTAAAAAAATTAACAATTTCTTTGCAGCTTGTAAAAGTATAAACACATTCCTTTCATTCCAAGTCAATAATATATCTAGAAAGATTCAAGTAATCTTTGACTCTAGCTTAAAATTACCTATCCAATGAATGACCCATTTACATCTAAAAAAATACTGAAGAAGATCCGACGTACCCCTCGTACCTTGTAACACTGGAGCGAGGTACGGTCCCAAATTTTGATTGTGTTGTCTCGAAGGCCTGATACAATTTTCTGAAAGATTGCTGAAATTAACAATTTCAAAACCAATCACTATTTAAAATAAAATAATACCAATTTTTATTCAAGACAGGCTTGCAGAGTTACGAAAAATATTCCTAAGAGAAAGGAGGAGGGAAGTTGAATCATTAACCAAAATAAACTTATACCAAGTACAGTATTGTACCCAAAATTGTCAAGAGCCTGGAAGTAAAAAGAATGAAATGCAGCAAAAAATGTAATGACCTAATTAAAGGTATATCAAGACATGTTTAAAATAATAACAGTGGAGAAAACCTTAAAGTTACATATTCTATACAAAATCATAGCAATAAAACAGCTATCCAGAACAGTGTATGTACACATGTACATACACATGCACACTATTACATGCACAGATACAAACATGCATACGTACTTGCACTTGTACATGAGCACACTCACTCGCTCTCCCTCCCTCCCTCACTCTTTTGTTCTCCCTACCTTGCTCACTTACTTATTTCCAACATTTCTTAACACCAAAAATACCTTTCTTCTTTCCTTCATTTATTCTGTGATTAACTTCACCATTCAAACCCTTCTACCAGTAAATCCTCTCTCAAATAGCTAAATTTACCTCCTCTACACTTCTCTCCTCCAATCTCTCATAACTAACATTTTTATACACTTTACAATCAAAGCAAAGAAACTTCATTATATTAAGACTCTACTCTCAAGTGATTTTTGAGCTATGAAATTTTTCAGGCCTAAATGTACACAAGTTATGAAGATTTAATATTGGGGTAAAAATTAGTTAAATATAGAATGAAAAGTTATCTTGCAACACAATATAAAAAAAAAAAACAGCAATGTCTGTTACTCTGGAAAAAAATATAATTTCAGGTGCCCTATTTAAAACTACGCTTACCTGATCATCATACTGTAAACAGTAGACACCTTTAGAGTTTTCTGAACGGCAATTTATCCTTTGTAAATTATGTCTACCCATTCTCCAGTTGGCTTCTATAGTTTGTATATCCTACAAAAAAGACAATAACAATCACATTTCATTATCAGGAAATACTAGTAATACTTCTACTACTACTACTACTACAATACATTGAAGAAATGCGTAACACTGAGAGTCCAAAATGTTTAAAAGGTTTCCGCTGGATGTTTGTTGTCAACTAAACTACTTCCTCCAGTCCAGTAGATTTAAATACCAATATTTGATTAATAATAAATGTACAGTGGTACCTCGATATTCGAACTTAATACGTTCCAGGAAGCTGTTTGAATAGTGAGTTGTACGAATATTGAATCAATTTTTCCCGTAAGAAATAATGTAAATTGGATTAATCCTTTCCAGACCCCCAAAAAATTACCAATTATAAAATATTTTAAGAGAAAATATTGCTTATTAAAACCTGTATAATATTATTTGCATACATACTTGGACTTGATGTGTCGGCGATGGATTTATGAAGGATGAGGTTAATCATAGAATTGACGAGGGAAAAAAGGCGAGTAGTGCGTTGAGGTATATGTGGAGTCAAAAATGTTATCTATGGAGGCAAAGAAGGGAATGTGTGAAAGTATAGTAGTACCAACACTCTTATATGGGTGTGAAGCTTGGGTTGTGAATGCAGCAGCGAGGAGGCGGTTGGAGGCAGTGGAGATGTCCTGTCTAAGGACAATGTGTGGTGTAAATATTATGCAGAAAATTCTGAGTGTGGAAATTAGGAGAAGGTGTGGAGTTAATAAAAGTATTAGTCAGAGGGCTGAAGAGGGGTTGTTGAGGTGGTTAGGTCATTTAGAGAATGGATCAAAGTAGAATGACATGGAGAGCATTTAAATCTGTAGGAGAAGGAAGGCGGAGTAGGGGTTGTCCTCGAAAAGGTTGGAAGGAAGGGGTAAGGGAGGTTTTGTGGGTGAGGGGCTTGGACTTCCAGCAGGTGTGCATGAGCGTGTTCGATAGGAGTGAATGAAGACGAATGGTATTTGGGACCTGATGATCTGTTGGAGTGTGAGCAGGGTAATATTTAGTGAAGGGATTCAGGGAAACCAGTTATTTTTATACAGCCGGACTTGAGTCCTGGAAATGGGAAGTACAGTGCCTGCACTCTTAAAGGAGGGGTTCAGGATATTAGCAGTTTGGAGGGATATGTTGTTCTAAACTGTTGTGTTCTGAGCACCTCTGCAAAAACAGTGATTATGTGTGAGTGAGGTGAAAGTGTTGAATGATGATGAAAGTATTTTCTTTTTGGGGATTTTCTTTCTTTTTGGGTCACCCTGCCTCGGTGGGAAACGGCCAACTTGTTGAAAAAAAAAAAAATATCATACACAAAAACTATAAAAACAATAAATACATGCAACTTCCTCTGCAGAGGTTGGTAGATGAATTTGGTAGGGTATGTAAAAGAAGAAAATTAAAAGTGAATACAGGAAAGAGTAAGGTTATGAGGAAAACAAAAAGATTAGGTGATGAAAGATTGGATATCAGATTGGAGGGAGAGAGTATGGAGGAGGTGAATGTATTCAGATACATATTTGGGAGTGGAGGTGTCAGCGGATGGGTCTATGAAAGATGAGGTGAATCATAGAATTGATGAGGGGAAAAGGGTGAGCATGCACTTAGGAGTCTGTGGAGACAAAGAGGGGAATGTATGAGAGTACAGTTTTACCAACGCTCTTATATGGGTGTGAAGCATGGGTGATGAATGTTGCAGCGAGGAGAAGGCTGGAGGCAGTGGAGATGTCATGTCTGAAGGGCAATGTGTGGTGTGAATATAATGCAGAGAATTCATAGTTTGGAAGTTAGGAGGAGGTGCGGGATTGCCAAAACTGTTGTCCAGAGGGCTGAGGAAGGGTTGTTGAGGTGGTTCGGACATGTAGAGAGAATGGGGCGAAACAGAATGACTTCAAGAGTGTATCAGTCTGTAGTGGAAGGAAGGTGGGGTAGGGGTCGGCCTAGGAAAGGTTGGAGGGAGGGGGTAAAGGAGGTTTTTGTGTGCGAGGGGCTTGGACTTCCAGCGGGCATGCATGAGCGTGTTTGATAGGAGTGAATGGAGACAAATGGTTTTTACTACTTGACGTGCTGTTGGAGTGTGAGCAAAGTAACATTTATGAAGGGATTCAGGGAAACCGGCAGGCCAGACTTGAGTCCTGGAGATGGGAAGTACAGTGCCTGCACTCTGAAGGAGGGGGTGTTGCAGTTTAAAAACTGAAATAAATTAAAATGTAACATGAAATAAATTAAAATGTAACTGCACTTTATCTTTAATGAGGAGTGCTGATGGCCTAAGAGGAAGGATATCACCTTCCATGAAAATATCAGGTAACTGCCCATCTGATGTTTTTTCTCCTTTCTACCTCTGTGCAGTAGCACTTGAAGATGGGGATTCATTAGCATTTAATTTTTTCTTTACTAAAGCTGTCCAATGTTGTCTGTTTTTGATGACTTTTCAAAATTTTTCTAAAGTGGTCAACAACATTGTCAGTGAAGAGGTTGATGCTCCTGTTCACAACAGTAATGTTAGGAGGAGATTTTTCCACTAGGCTCTGTGTCTGAGCCCAGTGGTAACAGTTCCTTAATTTCTGAAGTGGAAATGTTACCCTTACCGCTTCCCTCCTCTGAAGAAGAAATTTCCTCAACCACTTTTTGCTGCTACTTGTAAAGATCTTGAATTTCTGTGGTGAGCTCATTCTTGTGATCCTCTAACTCCTCTACATCCTCATCATCCATTTCCAAACCCATAGACTGTCCCACAGAACAATAACCTACACTACAGGCTCTGCCTCAAAGCCTTAAAAATCTCTGACAAACAGTGAGATATGGTGGATTTTGCCATACCATACTGAGTGGCCAGGTCCGACACGTGTTCCACTTTTCCACTTCACAATGAGTTCTTTTTTTATTTTAATTCTTGTTCTCACTGCTTTCCTTTTAGGCTTATTTGGATCACTACTCTTTTGGGGGAGCAATAATTACTTAATTTTCAATGAAAATATTTAAAGAACACCACAGAATAACAATGAAATACCAAAAGATTTCATGGAGCTCGTATGAACGATGCTTAACAAACGAAAGCTGATGAGAGACTGAGCGCAGGATGCTCTATCTTCATCAGACTTCGTCCAGATGGATGTTTTGTTCAGGTCACATATCAGGGCAACGTCTGAATAGTTAAATTTTTCTTGAAAAACTTGGGCAAATATTAAGCTGTACGAATACAGACACAAATGAATATTGAAGTTCCACTGATTGTCATTATAATACAATGGTACCACGAGTTTCGAACAGCTCCCAACTCGAACAATTATGCAAGTGTATTTTTTAAGTGCTTTTGTAAGTGTATTTTTGGGGGTCTGAAATGGACTAATCTAATTTACATTATTTCTTATGGGAACAAATTCGTTTGGTATCGGAACTCGAACTGCCTTCCGGAACGAATTAAGTTCGCAACTCGATGCACCACTGTACTATTTTTTAACACCAACCATTTCCTACCAAGGCAGGGTGGCCCAGAAAGAGCAGAAACATTTTAACCATCACTCACTCCATCACTGTCTTGCTAGAGCAGTGCCAATGCTATAGTTCAAAACTATAAATATCCTCAACCCTTCCTTCAGTGCAGGCACCGTACTTCCCATCCCCAGGACTCAAGTCCGGCTAACCAGTTTCCCTCAATCCATTCATATATATTACTTTGCTAACACTTCAACAGCACCTAAGGTGATGTTGGAGTGAAAAACCAGCTAGTAATTCATCACAGAAGCTCAATTGTATATTTTAACTCAACGGCCATTTTCCATCAATTAAGGTGACTATTATTTATTAACTGCACCTCCAGAGCATCATAAAGCCATATCCAATAAATAAGACCAGCTTGTAAACAACAACATGCTTGCACCAAGGGACTTTAAAAATTCTAATCTAAACTCACCTGGATAATCTTAGGATAAAGCTTGCGATAGTATGAATGCCCAGGGTGCTGCTCTCCCGGTCTAGGTTTGAACAGATACATACCCCTGTTAAAAACAAGCAGCAGAATTAGGAAAATATCTGCAATGATTTATAAAATCATTCATTATTTGACAAACAAATATAAATAAAGGGGATGAAGAGGGCTTAAGAAAAGGTTGTGGCCACTGACTGGAAATATACACAACTCATGACCAGCTACTAATATCATAAAACACAAATCAAAAGCACAGCACAGTTCCTGATTTAACTACGAGTAATAATGTACACAAAGAATCAAACTTTTAAAATCATGTATAGACTATCCAACATAATTAGACTTGATCACAGTTACTACACATAGCCACAGAAATTATACAAGATATTAACAAATGCCATTTAGTAAAGAATGAAAAGCTTATTATTTTAAGAGACTAAATTTGAAATATGAAAATATTTTTTTTTATTAACACATCAGCTGTTTCCCACCGAGGCAGGGTGACCCGAAAAAGAAGCAACACTTTCATCACTCATTCCATCACTGTTCTGCCAGAGGCGTGCCTACACTACAGCCAAAAAAAAACTGCAACATATCTACATTTCTCCTTCCGAGCACAGACAATGTATGAACATGTCAGGTATAAAAGAAGCAGAAACTACTGATAATACTGATTCCTTTCAACTATTGTTCAGTGCCGACAGCACTGTTCAGGCTGGGGGGAAATAACAGAGCTAGGACAGAGAGAGAGATCATTTATGGCCAATAAAGCCTTGAAAGCCAATAAAGCATTTTAATTACTGGGAATGTCCCGAAGTCCTAAATAGGTACGTACTTGCTGGAGTGAAGGAGAGAGATATATGATAATATGCACCTGAAAAGTACTTGAGAGCCTTGTCCCAAATCTGAACATTGCCATAAAAGCATAATGGAGTGAGAGATATGAGGTCCAAGAGGGCACTGTATCAACATCTTAGCAGAATACATCAGAAACACTGCTGGGACAAGTGTAAAAGTCTTTCAAGAGAAAACTGGACAAGCATCTTCCCCAAGTGCCAGATCAACCAGGCTATGAATATGTGGACCAGGGAGCCACCAGCAATAACAGCCTGGTTGACCAGGTAAGCATGAGATAAGCCTGACCCAAGGCTGTGATCATTCTATAACTAACAGACTTAGCCACTGTTACAAAGTCAACTGACCCAGTAGATACTATTATTTCCAGAATCCGTTAAGTTGTGGTCTGTTAATTATGACAAAGCTGGTAACTCCCGTCATTTAAAAGAATAGGAAGATAAGTTAGACTGTTCTAAACAGTAATATGGAAAACAATTTTAGATGAGAGAGATGCAGAAAAGGCAAAAGCACAAGAATGTCTTATCAAATATTGTGGAAGAGGGAAGCTACAAGAAACTTACTGCCCTATTCTTGTAACTACAAACTAGTGTCATTACACCAAAAATATCATGAATACGCAAGAATTTTATGGTGTAATGGACATGTTCTTACTCTTTAATACGTACCATCCCTTTCTTTCTGAAAGCCCTCTCCATAGAGGATCTGTGCGTACTTTTCTTTCTATTAATTTCTTCCATAGGAGACCGTCAGCAATAACCCGATGCCATTCTTTACATACTAACTCTGCTTCCCGTAGTGATTTAGCATCTAAGTAACCTAATATTTTTTCTGCTACGTGATCTAGACCTTTTTCTGAAAAAAAAAAAAAATATACAACTGAAATTATTATACCAATAGTTATGTACAAACTTCCCATTTACAGAAAATAAGACTCCAATTATCCAACAAACACTTTCCACTTTTCTTTTTTAACACACAGGCCGTCTCCCAGCAAGGTAGGGCGACCTGAAAAACAAACTTTCACCATCATTCCCACTATCACTGTCTTGCCAGAGGTTCATAGATATGACAGTTCAGATATCCCTCCAAACAGCAAATATCCTCACCTCTCCTTGAGAGTGCAGTCACTGTATTCCTGAATATATTACTAAAAATAAGCAAACCTTTCCACATTTCTAAATTAATAATTATAAAGCTACACAAATAACTCACACATAGGAGAGAGAAACGCTTATGATGACATTTTGGTCCAACTTGGACCATTCACAAATCATACTGACAGAATAATGAGTGAGCCAGTATAAGTGAGGAGGACAGGGACGGGAGAAAGAGGAAAAAAAAGTAGTGGTAATGCTGGCGGCGGCAGCAGCAGCAGTAGTAGTAGAGTAGTTTTTTGCCACAAGAGATAGAGAGAGAGTGAGGGAGACAATAGAAATAGTAGCAGAAAAAGTAGAATGTAGAAACAGTAATAGTAGTAAAGGAGTGGTAATCACAGTAGTAGTAGTAGAAATGGGGGTAAGTCTAAGGCCAAGAAAAAAGGAGCACTGCGGGAGAGCTAAGGGCCCATTAGGGGTAGGATCAATAACACAGGGTTGGGGGGTAACTGAAAGACAGAACACACTAGACAGAAGAAAAAATATGGAAGTAAGGAAAAATAAGAAAGGAGAAGAAGTAGGGAGAGAAGAAATGCTCAAGTCAAGGCATGAGTGTTCTGAAGTTTGGAACATTTGACAATGTAAGGAGAAAGGAAGACATCTACAGAGAAAGCCAGGACTAACATTCATACTAGGAAAGCTGTGTAGAAGGAACACTTCAACAAGACAATGGCTATGAAGGCTAGAGGTAGGAGAGTCAGTTTTGGCAGAGGACTAGTTAATAGGATGACTGTGATCTCCAACATGACTGAAAAGAGCATTACTGGTGTCAGCAAGCCTAACACTGTTTTTGTGCTCTTAAGTCTGTCAAAGAGTGGCCTGTTTCTCCAAAGTATTGAAGGGGACAAAAGGAGCATGAAATATAGTAGACACCAGGGGCATCAACTGCAGGGGGAGAGGTATGAACCAGATTACTGCAAAGGGTGTTTAGTATGGCAAAAAGTCTGATGTCTAAGGAATGGAGAGAGTTGTTGAGATTAGAAAACAAGGAAGGCAGAGAACAGATTACATAGGAGTAGAGTGTTTGGGAGAGAAAAAAGTCGTTTAGCATGAGAGAAGGTAGACTTTATGAAATCGGAAGGGGAGCCAAGTTGAGAGAATGAATTGCGAAGCGTGGAAATTTCAGAGTCAAGGAACTGAGAGTCACAAATGCGAAAAGAATTTAGAGAGAGAGAGAGAGAAATAAGAACACTTTTCTTGACAGAGGGAGCATAAGAAAAGTAGTGAATGTACATGCCACTGTGCACAGGCTTGCGATAAACGGAAAAAGAAAAGCCTGTAGCCGAGTGGTGGACATGCATGTCAAGGAAAGAAAGCAAAGAGCTAGATTCCTATTCAGTTTTAAACTTGATGGAAGGAGCAAAATTGTTAAGGGCATCAAGAAGTGGTTGGAAGAGACTAGAGTCATGGGGCCAAAGAGCAAAGATGTCATCTACATAGCAGGGCCAAAGGAAAGGGTGCACACCAAGAACAGTTTCAAAGTATTCCAAAGGTTAGTAAGAACAGGGGATAGAGGAGTCCCCATACTGACACTGAAGGTTGGAGAATAAAACTTACCTTCAATGGAAAAGGAGTTAGCACTCACACAAAGGCAAATCAGATCAAGGAAGACATCAGTAGGTATAGGAAGATGAAGTAACCCTTCATAAGCTTTTCTCTCTCTCTTATGTGCGGGTTATTTGTATATTGTTCCAACCACGGTATTGTGCCTTTTTGTACTTTATAAAACTACCTTATATCAAAAGAAGAAAAAGTAAGGTTGAAATTTCTGAGGATAATTAGTGAAGGATTTTCTCGGCTATCCAGCTGGTATTACTAACAGTGGCTTTTATGCAAGGATAATTACAGACCCTGGTTATCATTCCATGCACTTATACCATATTTTACTTTATAGTTCTATGCAAATAAGCAAATCTTTCACATGGAGCCCTATTCCAAGGAACATACTTACTCTCACATCCTTAAAAGTGAAACTTTGGGTTCCAGATTTCACAGTCTAAAAAGAATCTTTAATGCGGCCTTCTATAAAAGCTCAAAATGTAACATTTGTTTTTTGTTTCAAGCTTTGTATGTTAGCAAAAGGAAAGGAAGTTTGTCTATTTGGGTTGGTTTGAACTAGTGACTTTTCTGGCAAATTTAGTACTAGGGATCCCGAGTCCAGTACTGCTGCAAACTCATGCATTGGAACTTAGTATTCTTGTTCTGATCAGTAAAGCATTCTGCATGGTGGTGAATGGCATGAGGGTCTTACTGCCAGGCAAACAAAACTGTTTAATTAGAGCTCTTCGCATCTTAGGGTAGGAGGCATTAGGTGGTTCGTAGCTCAGTGGTAGAGTATTCAATTTACAACCAAAGAACTCTGATTTAATTCCAGATGAGTGGAGACAATGAGCATGTCTCCTTATACCTGCTGCCCCTATTCACCTTGTAATAAGTAGGTACCTAGGTGTTAGTTAACTGTTGAAAGCTACGTCCTGAGGGAAGGCATTATACACGATACAGAATTGGGCTTTAAAATGAGCCAAGGTAGGACAACAGCTCATAGTCTCTAAAAATTCAACCAAGCAAAAAACAACTGTTCTGGCTGTTGTTGTTGCTGGCCTATGACATTTGCTGGTGGTGGGTGATTCCCCACTGTGCTCTTTGTTAACTTTCCATGTAAGTACAGTATATTTTTACCTGGCTTTGTCTTAACCACCATTTTCTTTTACTCTATATTAATCTATTTATTCTTGTTTATAACATACACAAATGCCCTACAAAAACAACTCACAGGGACAACAGGCCTTTTGGTTTGAACGAATGGCACAGTCAGTTTTAGATCAATATATTTTTCGCACACAGTGGACTGCTGATCATTGCAGACTTTTGGACAGAGATCACAAGCTTCTATTAAGAAAACCTTATACTGTATAATAACAGCCACTTTTCATTGCTATTACACACAAATATTTGGCAATATAAACCTAATGCCATGCAAATGCTGCACTTGCTTCCGCACACTGTAGACAAAACAGGAACACCAAATTTAGAAGCATTTTCAGTAATGAAAAGAGAAATAATGTTGAGAAGATACACTGTGATAATTCTGATAAGTCTGCCAAATACAGACTTCAGTAATTGATGAAAATCTGTAATGAATATTTTGATATTAAAATAGGCATATTATAATCATTTGAAATAACTACAATATATTCAGCATATGATAAAAATAATGGTTATGTTCAGTTTAAACATCAAAAGTTTCCTCAATATTAAAAAAAATTAAAATTTTGTACTCTTCCAATAATTAACTATCACAAAGTTCTGTTAAGAAAACACATACACACCAATATTCTACCAAGTCAAATAATACTGCACACACCTTTGATGGTAGGTACTGCGCTTGTGTCAGTTTTAGGAAATTTTTCTTTTACAAATGCAATTTTCTCACTTTAAACAATAAACATTACAAACATGTTACTAACCCTGTCTTCTTTAATAATATATATAAAGCCAATCTGTCAATACCCAAACACAAGCACTTACTTGGAAGAAGAGTAATAAAATCTCTTTGAAGCATTGGTTTTAGAAAGGCATTAATGTGTCCATGTTGATAGTGGCACATTCGTGATAATAAATGTTCCATAAATTCTAACTGGTCTTGTTCACTCCATTTTTCAAAATACTGAAGGCACATCTCCCGCTCATTGTTGTACCGAGCTGTAGATTCTTTTTTCCGTCTCCCCCCTCCCCCTCCTCCCACCCCTCCTGAGGAGTGGGAGAGGAGTATTGTGGTCATGGGTTCAGGTTCTTCATTGTCACTCACACCATCACCGCTTCGAATGCCACCACTTGTTGTGACACTCATGGGTGATGTGTTGTTATCGTAGATCACCGTCATGGGTGTCTGAGGGAAAAAGAAAATTACACAAATGGAAAAATTAACATGCAATTTTTTTTTTTTCAACGTGTTGGCCGCTTCCCACCGAGGCAGGGTGACCCAACAAGAAAAACCCAAAAAGAAAGAAAAAAAACTTTCATCATTCAACACTTTCACCATCACTCATACATAATCGCTGTCTTTGCAGAGGCAATCAGATATGACAATTTAGACATCCCTCCAAACTGCAAATATCCTAAACCCCTCCTCTAACCCTTTCAGGGTCCGTGCCATAGATCTACGGCTTTAGGTTGAGGGTCCAAACCGTAGATCTATGTCATGAGCTCAGCTCACTCTGATAAGCTGTGAGCAGTAAATTTGGGCCTAGACATGAGAGAATACAACTATGGGGTATGTGTGCACCACATAAAACAAATCCTGCAGCACAGAGTGCATAATGAGAGAAAAAAAAACAGACCGTAATTTTTTATTAAAACAGCGACTTTGCAGTGCTTTTTCATGTTTTTTATACTAGTTGTACAGTGGACCCCCGCTTTACAATCACCTCCCAACGCGACCAATTATGTAAGTGTATTTATGCAAGTGCGTTTGTACGTGTATGTTTGGGGGTCTGAAATGGACTAATCTAATTTACAATATTTCTTATGGGAACAAATTCGGTTAGTACTGGCACCTCAACATACTTCTGGAATGAAAAAATATTGTAAACCGGGGGTCCACTGTATTTGCAATTTCTTTGTCTCATTTGATAGAATGGAAGATATATTACAGAAATATAGATGATTTTTTTTGGTTTTATACTAGAAATGGCGTGAAACTGAGCTCAAAGTAGCGGAAATGTTAAATTTTTGCCGATGTTCAAGAGTAAACAAATGGCCTCACACATCTAATACATGCCTGCTGGTGGTCTAATTCATGTTCACAAATGTGGTGATATTATTTATACAATTATTACAATATTGCATAACAGTAAATCTTCTATTTTTTGGTTTGAATAAAAATTCATTACGTGAAAAAATATCAAAGCCTGAAAACGTAACTGATGAACAGAGGAAATGTTAGTTTAGTGCCAGGAATGCCTGCATTGTTTATTCTGGACCCTATTTTGAAACTGGAATATTCTGAACTTTGCATTAAATTGGCCAAATTACCAATTTCCGATCACTTTATTTTGTAGGTGAAACAGTTGACTTGGCGATTTCTTGTCCTCAATCGATAGAACAGAAGTAATATTAGTGAAATAGCTAAGAATTTGGTCGACTGGAATAATATAATTGGCCTAAAATGGGAGGCAAAGTCGGCAAAATCGTCGATGTGTAAATATCGCTGACACATAAAAATTTGTGTGAGCATAATTTTGTCAATTTTCCATTAAATGTTGTACTTTTTGTTTTATTACCTTCAGAAAAAAGACTCTCTACCATTTCATAAGAAAAAATAACAAAATTATTTTTTGAAAATTCTTGGACACTGGTGCACACTTAGAAATTTGACCTCTGGACCCTGAAAGGGTTAAATTGCAGGCAATGTACTTCCCGTTTCCAGGACTCAAGTCCAGGTAACCGGTTTCCCTCAATCCCTTCACAAAATATTACCCTGCTCACACTCCAACAGCTCGTCAGGTCCCAAAAGCCATTCATCTCCATTCACTCCTATCTAACATGCTCCCGCACGCTTCCTGGAAGTCCAAGCCCCTTGCCCACAAAACCTTTATCACTTCCCTCCCAACCTTTTCGGGGATGACCCCTACCACGCCTTCCTTCCGCAATAGATTTATACTCTCTCCAAATCATTCTTTGTTCCATTCTCTCTAAATAACCAAACCACCTCAAGAGCCCCTCAAAATGTAGTATACATACAGTGGTACCCCGAGTTTTGTACAGCTCCCAACTCGAACAATTACGTAAATGTATTATTACAAGTGCTTTTTTAAGTGTATTTTTGGGGGTCTGAAACGGACTAATCTAATTTACATTATTCCTTGTGGGAACAAATTTGTTCGGTAATGGCACTCGAATAGCCTTCTGGAATGAATTATGGCTGAAACTCGGGGTACCACTGTATTTTAACAGGATAGTCTGAACACGCTGGCCATCTCCCACCAAGGTAGAGTGACCCAGAAAAAAAAAAAAAACACCTTCACCTGTCACTCCCCCAATCACTGTTTTGCAAGAAGCATGCTGACATTAGATTAGCTGGGCATCCTAACCACAACCCACCTCTCCTTCAGAGTGCAGGCACTGTACTTCCCACTTCGAGAACTCAGGTCCAGCTAATCAGTCTCCCTAAATCCCTTCATAGATGTTATCTTGCAGACACACACCAATAGTACACAACTTAAATATACTGTAGCAGTTTACAAAATGTGAAAACTGTATTTTACACTAAAATTATCAATTGCACTGAAATACTGATTTTTTTATTTAATATCATTAGCTAAATTCATAAAGGTAGTACCGTAGAACGTACCAGTTACTTCTGAGTACAACTACTGTACAATGCATTGGCACAAATTGACTTGCTTATTTTTCACTTTTTCTGTTCAAAAAGTAAGTTTATTCTGGAACAAATACACAAACACAGTTACATAAATTATCATACAAAGCAGCATGTTTAGATTACCTAGGATAACCTAAAAAAGTGAAAAGCTTTTCTTTTCATGTTTTGGAAAATAGTACTGTATTAATATAAGAAACTTATGCTTCTAGTGCTCAAGAGTACCATAATGACTTATTCCATACCACACAGCAAAATAATGCAGAGTTGCCGTGGGTAGTTCCCCCCAGGTAGCTACCCACTTACTGCCCTGGCCAGGTTTTTTTAGTTCAAGAAACCTGACCGTGACCTGGCATCTTAACTCAAAACGCTATTAAGTTATTGTATATGGTTACTCAAAATACTCTGTACAGCCAGGGGCATTCTACAGAGCATGTCAATAATATCACCTTCTCTGTACCAATTGTAAATCATTCTTTATAAAAAAATGTTTATTTTTATTTTATAATAATTTTAGATCTTTAAAATTTCATTTCATTTGTCCTAAGTAATGTTTGGTAACAGAATAAACTAAATAAATATAATAAAATAAATTATACAAATTCACAAAAATGTGAATTTTATGTAAATTATGTAGAGTAAAACCTTGATTAATGGATAATATTCAGACTTAACAAAATCTGTGGCCAAACAGCATTTGGAAACAACACACAAAGTCCGTTATATAGATAACTGTCCTTTATTCTTACACTTTACTGGGTAAATTCACTTCAGAATTAATAGACCAAGTCCATTAAATCAGAAATGTCAGTTATTGTAGTGTACTGGGTAAATTTATTTTCAGATTTAATGGACGTCCATTAGATCCAAAATTGTTTATTACAGTTATGAGCATGAAAAAATGCGTGTTCTTGTAATTTGGGTTTAATAGACAATTGACTTTAATGGACACCACCTGCCCCCTATCAGTCCATTAAAGTGAGGGCTCACTGCACTGTAAATTGTGTATACACATACTGCATATGTATTTACGGTACAATACATCCTATGTCATGTAATACAGTGCTCTACTGTATTGTAGATACTAAGTATTCCATTTTGTTTTTATCTTTCTCATTACAGAGAATAATTAGTATATATATTAACTACTGTACCAGTATATTTTAACTCCATATAGTATGTACTGTACTATATTGCAATTAAGTAGACTCCAGAACTATCCTCGGTAGTATTTGAACACCTCGCTGTGTCGCTAGCATCAGTAAGATTTTCCCAATGCTTTCCCTGGCACATTGGTCAGGACCCTAATGGAAATAAGTCACTGTCTGACTTTTCTGGCTTATCCTAGGTAATTTACACTATGTATGATAATTGCATCTGTGTGTGTCTGTGCCTAAATAAACTTACCATACATCTCATATTTTTCCACAATAGAGGTATTCTATGGCAGTGTTGAGAAGCTGTTAACTGACTTGGGTAGGGTGTGGCTATCTCCCTCTGCCCAGATTAGGCAAGAAGGGTGGGGAAAATACTCTAATTAGGGAATGCCTACTCCCTTTTCTATTTCCCAAGATTTAAATAATTACAATAATTAAAAAGTCCAAATGATGCACAGCATTTTGAGCAAGTAAGACAGTCCTGCTAAACCCACAAGCATCATTCAGCATTGCATAACATTGTTGAAAGAGAAAATAAAAAGAGGTAATGTTGAGGGTAAAATATTGGCATTTCTTATGCCAATATTAGGCAAGACAGTCTCAGTAAGTACAGAACAAACCAGTGTCAATGAAGAATCAAAAGAAACTCTGGGGCTTGGGAGAATTTAGACCAAGTGCTATTTGAGATGAAACGTTGAAGTTTATTCTGTAATTTAGAGTAAAGATGTATGCATGGTAGGATGCTGAACACCAGGAAAGTGAGTTTAATACACCATGAGGTGTGTTGGCTCTTAACAATTACAACAATGACTATTAAGTACAGAATGCACTAAACAAAAACCATAAAAATGATAAAGGCACAGTATCATGAACAAATTTTTAAGGAGTACCTGGTGCAACATATTTTCTACAGATGAACAGAACAAGTCAAGCACTGCTATTAATGAATAATTCATACTTTTTCTAAGCCCAAAACCAAGCAATCATTATTATATCATTATTATATTATTATATCAAAACCAAGCAATTGTTATTATATCATATTCATAGAGGGAAAGAAGGCTAAACTCATAGGAGAATAGGAAGTAATAAAGTTCAATTCGAGGAAGGGATGGGAAGGGGCCATTCCTTGCATTAGAACCATTCACTGTCATCAAGGAACCTCCCTTGAAGGGCAAGAGATAAGAGCTTTAGTTTTAAGTTATGAATGCATAAATGTTCTTCAAAATTTTGAGATAATATTGGCAAGAGAGAAACTGGCCTGTACTTGTTGATTTCTGTTGGGTCTCCACCTTTGTGGAATAATGTGGGTTACTGATGTAACACTTCCTAGCTTGAGTATGTGTATTTTGTGGCACTGGCATGTCATTCGCCATTCTACCCACCTTCCTTGCTGAGTACTCACGTAACCCATCCATTTGTCTGTTTCTTTCCTCCACATCTATTCATTGACATCCAACTCAAGCTGGCACACAGGGCGCTTGATCTACACTATCTGGTAGGCTGGCTGGTTGAGAGCAGCTCATCCGTCTGGCAATTAGCGGATGGAAGATCAAATCTCCACTGCCCCATAGACTAAATGACCCACATAGGTTTGACACTTCACAAATATAATAATTATGTATGTGTGGGAAATGTTTGGTTTCTTTACATAAATATGTTGAACACCTGCAATGATGGGTGACAGCTCATGAACATTTCCCACATATGTATATGAACAGAGGTATACTGGTTTTGTTTCCAGATCCCCCCCCCCCCAAGTTCATTATTTGTTTGTGATAAATGGTTTTGAAAACCTACAAGTTAAGACTGAGACACTTATGCAACATACGGGAATCTTTATTAAAGAACGTTTTGCCACACAGTGGCTTCATCAGTCCAATACAAAGCCGAAAAGGGGGTAAGGAGAGGAGGAGTTTGAGGTAATCAGTTCCTCGTCAAGTTCATTATTGAAGTTACCTCTGCAGAGTTAGTTGGGGACAGGTATAGAGCACTTGGGTAATCACTGAGGCAGTCTCTAACTTGAGAAAGGTGTGACCAAAGAAAGAGGAAATCAGGTCCAATTCCTTTAAGCAAGAGCCCCTCGCCCACATCAAGGAACATCCCCGAGGGAACTGATATGCACTTTATAAACAACTACCTCGACTCTACAAAATCATTATTATTAAATTTAAGAGGACGTGTAAGTAACTAAGTTTATTTAGGCACAGGTATACTTATTTACAATTATCATTCATAATGCAAATTACATAGGATAATCCCAAAAAGTCAAAGTGACTTATTTCCACTGGGTATGGGCCAATATGTTTATTTAGGTACAGGTACACATAAATAGTTACACAAATAATCATACTCAGTAATGTGTAAATTACCCAGGATAACTCAAAAAAAAGTCAAAGCGACTTATTTCCACTGAGGTCTATGAGACTAGGGATTGGGAAGCAATCAAGAACGACCTAAGGAAGCAGGCAGCTCTAATTCCCCGGATCAAGAGCGCTTAATTATCATCAATGAGGCTGAACCCAGAATAGCAAAAATACGACACTGGCAGCCACGAGTCAAGGCTCTGCAAGCAACCTATGACTAAAAAACCCACTTATTTTAAACTCTTCTGTCACTTAAGCTCCAGTACCCAGCTACGAGCACTTGGCAGACATATTTCTGCCTCAGTGTGCTCATACGAGGGAGAAAATCATTCGGACTTTCCCAGACCTTCATACAACGTGAAAACTTACCTTCAAAACAAACCCAAAAAACCGCCTGTATTTTCGCCCTTGGCAGCTGCAGCAGACTTAAACTCCTGCGGTTTATTGCACACTGCCCGCACCTCTGTATTATTAATCAAAATACGTCAAAATACTTCACCTGAGAGGGGTAAAGAAAGTAAAATATTGACCTTCACTCATCTGAGACGGGTCTGACAGACCTGGAGTCAACGCAGTGGACTTACACTATACCCCAGAGGAGCGCTAAACCCGCGTGGCTGCTGGCCTAAAAGGGCAGCCCACCTTCAGCCAACGCAGTCAAAAACCCGCCTACCTCAACTGAATCTAGACTATCGTCCAAAAGATGTTCAGTTTCCATCTCCGCTGACAGGACTCGGAAAAAACCTCTTCCATTCGCTTACGATAGATGGCGGAAACTGGAGAGGAGAGGAGAGAACAAGTGAGGATCAGCCGCCCCGGAGCAACATCCATCCCTCCTTCCCTCCACACTAACTCTTTTACTTATTGGCCTAGAGTCTCTTCAATCCTAATTTATATTGCACTTTCAATACCTTGTAGTCAGGACCCAGGAAGACCCCCATGAGTGTGACGTCACTTATAAAATGAATAGTGTTTGGTGGCGCGCAAAATCACGGCCTCTTTTGACATATATAAACCCACTTTTATAACCAGCTTTTTTCCTCTGATAATACCGGGTAAATAAATAAAACAGACTTCAGGGCTAAAATGACAATTGTTTAGCGTTTAACAGCTACAGCGGTATATTTGAAAAATCAACCTTATTTTTATAAATTGCTTATATTTTCTATCATATTTGCTTTATTACTGCGAACAAGAGTTGGTATAGCTACATTACGTGGCAATCCTGATTTATATGACATGTTATATAGAAAAAGAGCTATGTTTACACTCTGAACAGTTAAGTCACACACTGGGCTGTGTTGACCCCAATGGTAAACCACTGTTCCACTTTATTTATTGGATTATCCTAGTAACTAGGTTAAATCTACATAATGCTGTTGTTGTCGTTACTCACGTTTATGGTGCTGTTGTTGCTGTTACTCATGTTTATGGTACTGTTATTCATATTAATGGTGCTGTTGTTGCTGTTTCTCATATTTTAATGGTGCTGTTGTTGAAGTTACTCACGGCAGATGGTGCTGTTGTTGTTGTTATTCACGTTAATGATCCTCTTGTTACTTATAATAATTACTATTTATATATAGTACCTTCAACATCTAGGTGCCTTCAGAACTGTTATAAAAAAATATACTCCTGTAAAATCACTTACAAATTTCCGGAATAAGCTTATTTTGTGTTATCTAATGCTTCCTAGACTGCTAGCAAACTTTCTCTGGGCGATCTCTTTTCTTCTGTTTAAATTGCATCATCTGCTAAAGGTATTATCCTCACCTTTTTTTTTTTTTTGGCATCAACACAAATCTTTAATGTGATGAATGGTTTGAAAACCCGACAAGTTGAAGATTGAGACACTTATGCAAAATATGGGAATCTTTATTCAGGAAACGTTTCGCCACACAGTGGCTTCATCAGTCCGAAACAAAGTAGAAAGTTAGGTAAGACACATATGCAACAGTTAGGTATCTTTATTTTGAAACGTTTCGCCTACACAGTAGGCTTCTTCAGTCGAGTACAGAAAAGTTGATAGAAGCAGAAGATACTTGAAGACGATGTAATCAGTCCATCACCCTTAAAGTTTTGAGGTGGTCAGTCCCTCAGTCTGGAGAAGAGCATTGTTCCGTGTCTGAAACAATATAAGTTGAAGTGACAGGATGGAGCCTTTATATGTCCAGGAGGTGAGACGTAGGTGCATTTGGGAGTTCCGCCGTTCTCACTAGTAGAGTCGAAGTTGATGGGATGTACCAGAACCCTGTGTCGTGTCGACAGATGAACATTAAAATGGTATAAAATACCGACATTGTTATACAGACCATCAACTTCGACCTCTACTAGTGAGAACGGTGGGTTGAGAGGGACTGCCTCCCAAAGCAATAGTTCCTACCTCTGCACTATATAAAGCTCCATCCTGTCATTCAGACTTATATGTTCAGACAAGGAACAGCTTTTCCAGACTGAGACGTACCACCTCAAAACTTTAAGTATGATGATTACATCGTTTCAAGTAACTTCTGTTCTATCAACTTTTTGTACGATGAAGACCTATTTAAACGTTTTCAAATAAAGAACCAATTATATGGTCTATAACACCTGTCGTTTTTATCCATTTATGTTCAAGTAGAAGGCTAAGGAGAAGAGATTGAGGCTAATAGTCCTTCAGCCTGGAGTCGATGTGTTCAGCCCATTAATCTTGTAGAATGTACAGCATAGGGCCGTAGACGTGGCTTATATACTGTAGTGAGGTAAGGCGAAGCAGGAGGAGGTGAAGTCATAGTGGTACCATCCACTAGTCGAAGTAGGTCTTCGTCCAAAGGTCGGACAAGTGTTGAAGAATTCCTCCTCTCCTTACGCCTTTCTACTTTGTATCGGACTGATGAAGCCACTGTGTGGCGAAACGTTTCCTGAATAAAGATTCTCATATGTTGCATAAGTGTCTCAATCTTCAACAAATCTTTAACTTTTGTAGGTTAGGTTAGGTAAGGTTCGTCAGGAAATAGGACAAATGTTTCCTGACGCGGGTCTTAGTCAGATGATGACCCGCCTTTGGAGCTTTTGGTCACCTGACCGAGGCCTTCCGCTGGCTTACCGGTCCACCCCTTTAAAAATTATGGTCATTTATAACCATTGTTATATTTAACTTTTGTACCTTTTAAGTCTTTTCGATCTAGCCATAGAGGTCTTCGACCGTTGTCTCTTCCTTCTGCACTACTAGGACAGGGATAGTGCATTCGGCTCCCAACTGAAGGTCCTGGGTTCAGTCGTGGGCAAGGCGCGACATATGCTACCCTTCTTCACCTAAGTATTAGTTGGCTGTTGCAACCTGCTGGTCGCCTCCTAGGGAAGACCTGTGACTGGTTTCAAATTTTTTCTACCCTCCACGACTGGCTTAGGCCCGGTTTACCCTGAATGCCTTATCAAACCGGGTTCATACAATAAATAAAATAATGGACCCCTCGGGGTTTTTTAAACCCCGTATGCGGGGAGTCCCTTTTGGATTAGCTGCACGAATAAACATAAATGCGCTGGAATGAGGGGGTGTGGTTAAATTGTTAGTTTGGGCCCAGACCCTGCACAGTGCTCCTTCCTTTTTGGAAATAAAGGTATAAAATCCCGACAAAAACAGAACTGGTCAAAAAAACTTATGTTTGTGACTTGAAAAAGCCCACTGTGTGGGCAAAAACGTAGTCAAAAAGGCACATTATACTGCATATGTGTTTATGTGTTTATATTTCCTTCCTTATTAAGTGGGTGTGACTTGGATCTGCCTAGCATGGACTAGTAGGCAGTGTTTCTTGTTTCTTATGTCTTATGTGGGAAAAATTTTTATTGAAAATAAATGATATAAAATACCGACACAATGGAAACATAAACACATATGCGGTTTAATGTGATCCTTTATTGACGACGTTTCGCCCACACAGTGGGCTTTTTCAAGTCGCATTTTGGTTGTTGACCAGCGTAACCCGCACATTGGAGAGAGGAGCTACGATTACGTTTCATAAGAACATAAGAACGAAGGAACACTGCAGAAGGCCTACTGGCCCATGCGAGGCAGGTCCAAGTCTCTTACCAGCTTAAGCTAATGCACCCAAACTAGTCAGGTCAGGTCACCTTGACTTAAGGGAGGAACACGGCAACTGACCGGGTAGCACAAGCTATCGGGCCCCAATCACACCCACCCACATCCTCATGTATTTACCCAAACCCTTTTTTAAAACCCTACACAACGTTTGGCCTTTTAAAACTGTAGGTAAGACCTTGCCGTTAGGTATCTTTTTTTCGAAACGTTTGCCACACAGTGGCTTCTTCATCGAGTACAGAAAAATTGTATAAACGAAAAACTTGAAAGGGGATGTAATCTCCATCACCCTTAAAGTTTTTAGGTGGGCAGTCCCCTCATCTGGAGAAGAGCATTGTTTTCCCTTTTCTAAAACAATTTGTTTCGACAAGGAACAATTTTCACCCCTTTTGAGCCTTTATAACCCCCTGTGTCCTGTATTGTTTGTAATAAGAAATAAAAACGGGAACACTGCAGAAGGGTACTGGCCCCTGCGAGGCAGGCCAAGTCTCCTACCGGCTTAAGCCAAAGCCCCAAAACCCAGTCAGGTCAGGTCACTTGATTAAGGGGGAACACGGCAACCGCCCGGTAGCACAAGCTTCAGGTCTAACCACACCCCCCCACCCCTCTGATTTTTCCAAATATTTTTAAGCTCACCGTTCTGGCCTCTTAACGGTACTTGGAGTTTGTTCCCCTCATCCACAACTCTATTACCAAAACCCGTACTTTCCTATATCCTTCCCGAATCTGAATTTTTAACTTTTAAAAACCCTTGCGCGATCCCCGTCTAGGCTAGTATTTTCAGCACATTTTTTTCATCCCTTTATTTATTCCTGTCTTCCATTTATACACCTCAATCATATCCCCCTAATTCTACGTCTTTCGAGAGAGTGCAGTTCAGGGGCCCCTTTGTCTATCCCCATAGGGAAGGTTTCTGATACGGGGTCAACTTTGTCATCCTCCTTTTTACATTTTTAGAGAAAATTTTTTTTCCATTCTGTAAAAAGGTGACCAAAAAGGCAGCATAAACAATGAGGCCCCAACCAAGGATGTAAGAGTTGAAAAACAACCGAGGGCTCCCTTTTTTTATGCTTCTTGTATAAGCAAGGGGTTCTATTGCTTTATTGCGAACCTTATGCATGTTGCTTGGTTTTAGATTACTGCTAACCAGAACTCCTAAAACTTTTTTGCAAACCCTAATTTAAGATCTACATTATTTAGTTTTTATGGGCATGGTTTTGTCCTGTCCAACATTTAAATTTGCATTTGTTATATTAAACTGCATTTCCACTTCTCCGACCACGCATCGTCTATTCAAACTTCCGGAGTGCTGATGTCCTCGTCAGAATGAATTCGCGGCCATTTTGGTGTCATCGGGAAAAATTGCCATGTCGCTCTTTAGCCCTATCTATGTGTTTATGTAGATTTTGAAAAGCAGGGGGGCCCCAAAACTGACCCCTGTGGGAAAACCCCTCGTGCACTTCCCCCTTATTTCTCCCCCTTTATGCAAACCTTGTGCCTATTTGTCACCATGCCTCTATCCAGGAAAAAAAATTTTCCTCCAATTCAGTTTTTAAATTTTCCTCAATAGTCTCTATGTGGTACCCTGTCAAAAACCTTACTGAAGTCCATATACACAATTCATATTCATTTCCATGATTACCCCTCAAATACCTTAGTAAAAAAATTAATAAATTCGTAAGGCAGGAACGCCCCTTTTTAAAACCATGCTAGATTCGTTGATTAATTTTTGCTTTCAAAGGGGCTACGAACTC